CCCGGACAACCCCCCCAAACACCCCCCCCCCCCGCCGATCATTTTACAAGGCAGCCAGAGGCCAATCGGGGCAAAGCGACTGGCACAATCCAGACCCCCCCTCGGCGTGTCACGCTTCGCTCATGCATGATCCCCCTGACATGTGAGCGCCCAAGGACACGTGTCAGCTGGTAAATATCAGTCAAAATCCACCCCCCCGCGCGCCCCCACACACTGATGGTCCCGTCGATACGATCGCCAGGCCCGAGAGGAAGATGCGCTTCGGGAGGTCGCTAGTGGGAGCCCGGCGGTTTGGATTTTTGCCCGAGGCTTCTTGCAAACGGGCCGGGGGCAGAACGGGAAAGGAGGGACGATGTGTCGGTTTCCTTTGGCCCCTGGGGGGCTGGCAAGCTTATAAAGCTCCCCCCCCCCTCTAGCGTCTCTCCTGCCGGGAAATAACAGCTCTGCCCCCTGCCCCTCACCTGTCCGGCTGCTAGGAACCTTCAAAGGGATAAAAAGCTCAAAAGAGGCTGAAAAACCCACCTGCAGGGCAGCTGCTGAAAGGAGAGAGGGAGAAAATTCTGCCAAGTCTCACACTCGTAGCCCTGGTCTCTGGAGAGTGATTGGACACGGAAGGCTTCACCTTAGCGATGGTCAAGCTCCAACAGAGTCAACCCTGGCCCACTCCAGGCACAACTGCAGCCCGGCTGACATCCGCAGGGCTGGAACTAGGGCCGGGCGAGAGGGGTACTTGCCAATTGCAGAGTCAGCAGGGGGGTGCACAGCCTGCTGATGCAGTTGAGCCCAGATAACCCCCTGCTGCTGCTACCTCCCCTGTGCAATTACTCTCCAGAGAAAATTATTTCATCCTGAGGTAGGAATTTTTGCTTTCAAGTTGAATTCCTACCCCAGCCCCCTTTTCTGTGCATGGCCGGCCCCAGGGCCAGAAGGGCCCAGCAGATCAAATAGTGTTTCTCAAACTGGGGGCCCCATGCCCCGAAAGCCAATTGTGCGCGAGGGGAGGTGTTCCATGGTATTGCCACCCCTACTTCTGCACTTCAGAGCTGGGCGGCTGGCAAGCAGCAGCTGGTGGCCAGGCACCCAGCTCTGGAGCAGCACTAAGTCGGGTGGTACCGGCTGCTCCGGCTTCCCAGGCTGCTCCATGCTGTGTCCCTAAGGAACCTTCTGCTCTGCCAGCTGGCCAGGAGGCAGCTCTGGCTGTGGATGGGGGCCCAGGGCCCAGGGACTCCCAGTATTACCCCACACGCCAGGTCACAAGAGCACGAGCAGGTTCTCAGCTCCCCGAACCCTCCTTCTCCGCTCCCTCCAGCTTTTCCTGCATCCTCTCAGAGTGCAGAGACTCTGAACTAATTCCTTCTCCGCTCCCTCCAGCTTTTCCTGCATCCTCCCAGAGCGCACAGACTCTGAACTAACGCCCAGTCAGGTACTAAGGCACCTAATGGGGCTACAAGGTGCCCAACTCCCTTTGACAGTCAAGGGGAGTGAGGCACCCAACTAACTTTGCTCGTGCTGCTCGGTGTCTAAATACTGGCCCTCCTTCTGCCCTGGTGCGCGTTCTCAGAGACATCTCTGGTCCTACTCACTGCAGCCTCAGAGCACTTTATTGGATTTAGCCTCACCCCCACCCTCTATTATCCCCCAGGTTCAGGTGAGGGAAACTGAGGCACAGAACATCTAAAGGCCTTGCCCAGGGTCACAGATGGAGGCTGTGGCAGAGCAGGGTCCCAAGACTTGCATCCTAACCATCCCCTCTCTTTGACTGCTGAGGTGCCAGCGCCCTGAGCGGAGTCGGTGGGAGAAAGTGACGCTCAGACCTTGGGCAATCCAGCCCCTTTAACGAGTCCGAAACTGACCCTCTGTCATGGAAACTGGGACCTGAACGCCCGGGGGGAGATCAGTGCTTTGCCTTATCTGTGCTCCTCATCTCAGCAGCAGCTCCACGACCTCCCCACGCTTCCTGCTCCCGCCTCCGGAATGTCTGAAATAAACCCATCCCGGCAGGGGCTGCCTGGTAGCTCCCCGAGTCTAAATGCAAAAAACCCTCTTCTGGACAATGTGAGCGCAGGGAAACCAAGGCACCCCGGAGCAGCCAGAGGCTCTGGCACTCCTGGCACAGGAACAGGACAGGAACCCGTCTCGCTCTCCCCTGACTGGCACCTGGAGCTCTAATGCGCTAGGCGCTGTACATCCACCCAGGAGGAGACAGGGCCTTACGGAACATGCACTGACTGGTCTCCGGGGTGGGTCTGTGTCTGCACACTGGCTCGTGCACTAATGGAGTCCTGGCCCCATGACGGGCTGTCGCACACACACCACGTGATGGTCACCACCCTCCATGGCACAGATGGAGAAAGTGAGGCATGGAACAGGAGTGAGGCTCCTGCAAAGTCACTCAGCAAGTCGGTGGTGGAGCCGGGAATAGAACCTAAGTCCCTAGTCCAAACTCGAACGCCAAGCCTTTCGCCACCACGACCTCAGCGTATCCCAGACACTGTCAGTCTCTTGCAGCTCAGCTCCCTTTAGAATGAGCAGCCCTGCGGCCACTTAGATTAGAGACTAACCAAAATCTATAGAATCATGAACTTTCATGGGCAAAACCCACTTCCTCAGATGAGTTGGAGTGGAAATAACAGAAACCAAGAGATCTATAGAACAGCAGAAGTACCTGTCAATTGTAGGACTCGTGTTAATGAGGCTAATTAAGGTTATCCCTCTTTAGTAGGTGGGGAAACTGAGGCACAGAGGGATCTGGGGACAGCAAGTGGGGAGTGAATAAGGGGTGGGGTGAATCCAGGAGTTCAGACGGCCACTCTGGTGCCATCCACTCTTCACTGTGTTCTGAGGAAACCCCCAGATACGGCTCCTCCTTTGAACCTCACCCCACGCCCTGCGGAAGTTGGTCACAGAAGCTGCGCGATCAGGTGCTCTGACCTGAATCATGGCAGTTTGGTACAGCGGAGGCAGGCACACCCGGCTCTTCCTCCACTTGTTGGGGATCCAGGTGCAAGTCACTTCCCCGGGATCCAGGCCTCAGTTTCCCCAGTTGCCTAGCAGCCATGACAGCGCCGACTTGCCTAACTGGATGGTGCTGCTGGGTTTGCTGGCAGTGCATGCCACTCAGCTGACTGAGCATCATTCATAAAATCGTCAGCCCTGGTCATTACCTGGGGCTTTTCATTAGTTGCTCTCAACGCACTTTGCACCTGTTGGCAGAGAAGAAATAACCTGGTTCTTCTTCACGCTACTGGGGCCGGGCAAAGGGAGCTGAAAGTGGCCATCACGCTCCATTCAATACCACCACCTGGCTTTTCCCTCAGCAGATCTCACAGCACTTTATGAACGAACCCAGTGTCATTAGCCCCAGAGAACAGACGGGAAAACTGAGGCACAGAGCGGGGACGTGACTTGTCCTAGGTCAGCCAGCGAGTGGTTGTCAGAGTTGGGAATAAAATACAGATGGCCTAGTGGGGCAGCGGGGGAAGCCAAGGGGAGGCATCCAGGCTGGGGTTCACCCCGGCGCGCTCCGCTCAGGCTGGCAGGAGCGTTTGATGCTCACGCTGCGAACGACAATTCCAGGAGAAAGCAGGTTGAGAAGCAGGGCCCGGGGGAAGCAGCTGAAGTGCTGGTGAGATCATGCAGGAACAGATCCTGCCTTGAACCAGCTCCTGCAAGATGCGCTTGTGGGACTGCACCCGTAGAGAAGCAGGCGAGAGAGAACAAGGTGTAGCTCAGTGGTTTTGGCACTGGCGTGGGCGGGACGGGACATTCTTCACTCACCTGCTAGGTGACCTTAGACAAAATCATTTTCCCGCCCACACGGTGCCAGCCCGGCCTAATTAGATTGTGCCGGATGCTGCAGAGACAAGCCCTCGCAATGGAGTCTCGGCAGGCGCTCGTCTACACTAGACAGTTAATTCAGATTAAGGGAGGGTGTGACATTAAAGCACAGTGGCTAATCTGGTTGGCCGAGCACGAACGCAGCCAGTCCTAGAACTATGACACACCACAGCGAACCGGGGCACTTCCAGGGATCGCCCTTCGAGCGCGGAGCAGAGCCGAGCGGAGAGGACGTTTCCCTGCTACAGTCGCTGCGCACGCTGGCTCCACAACCCAGACACTGATGTCAGTCAGCAGAGCGCCCCCGATTTACTCTGGTCTAGCGGGACCTGGCTGTGAGGGAGGCGTAAGGAGGCCCTCTGGGCACGTCAGTGACCAGCCTAAGGGACACGGCCCCTCCCCAGCTCCTTCTTCCCTGCCTTCCAGCCAGGAACTAACTCCCCCTCTTCCAGCCCTGCCCACAGCCAGGGCAGCATCCACCTTCCTTTGTTTCTCCCCATGGGAGGCCGCAGGTCAGACAGGTTTTTGAGTCACCTTTGCATATTGAGGGTTTCCCTGCTGGGTCTTGCTCCAGACAGCAGAGGTCACCACAGCCCAGCAAGTACCCCCACTACATCACACCCCCGTTTGCCCTCCAAGCTGGGGGGTGCCAGGCAAGGACAATGGAACGGTGGAGCTGGCAGCCAGGGACCTGAGGCACGGGGAGCGGGACAGCAGCAGAACCCCAACTAAAACCTGGGGGTGCCCATGCTTAGATCTCACACCTACGGCACCCTGGCTCTGGGTGCCTCCTGCAAGCAAGTACCCCCACTACATCACACCCCCGTTTGCCCTCCAAGCTGGGGGGTGCCAGGCAAGGACAATGGAACGGTGGAGCTGGCAGCCAGGGACCTGAGGCACGGGGAGCGGGACAGCAGCAGAACCCCAACTAAAACCTGGGGGTGCCCATGCTTAGATCTCACACCTACGGCACCCTGGCTCTGGGTGCCTCCTGCAAAGATCTG